ATTATATATATATATATATGTATATATATATATGTATATATATATATATATAATATATATATATATATATATATATATATATATATATATTATCCCATCCCAATTTGCATTTAATTGTGTCAGGTGAGTCGGCCATGACTGACAGCTGGCTGCTCGGCTCTCAGTCACGGCTCACATGGACAGATTTGTAGGAAATTACTGTTTATATTTTGTTCATAAAATTTCTTATGTAATAAAGGCATCATGTGGAACACTGATAGTTCATCATGTATATATATTTGTTTATTTTGTTGGAAGGTCAAGAGAGGGAGAAGAAGGGAGAGGGGGTAGAGGGGAAGGGAGAGGGAGAGGAAGGAAAGGAAAGGGAAGGAGATGGGAGGGAATAGAGGGAAGGGAGAGGGAGAGGAAAGAAGAGGGAGATGGAAAGGGAGAAGGTAGAGGGGAAGGGAGAGGGAGAGGAAAGGAGAGGGAGCGGCAAGGGAGGGGGTAGAGGGGAAGGGATGAGGGAGAGGGCAAGGGACGGGGTGGGGTGGGGGAAAAGGGCAAGGGAGAGACAGGGAGGAAGAGAGAAAGAAAGAGAGAGAGAGAAGAGAAGAGAGAGAGAAAGAAAAAGAGAGAGAGAAAGAAAGAGAGAGAAAGAGAGAAAGAGAAGAAAGAGAAAGAAGAGAGAGAGAAAGAGAGAGAGAGAAAGAAAGAGAGAAGAAGAGAAGAGAAGAAAGAAAGAAGAAGAAAGAAAGAAGAGAGAGAAAAGAAGAAAAGAAAGAAGAGAGAGAAAGAAAGAGAGAGAGAAAGAAAGAGAGAGAGAAAGAAAGAGAGAGAGAAAGAAAGAGAGAAAGAAAGAAGAGAGAAAGAAAGAAAGAAGAAAGAAAGAGAGAGAAAAGAAAGAGAGAGAGAAGAAAGAGAGAAGAAAGAAAAGAGAGAGAGAGAAAGAAAGAGAGAAGAGAGAAAGAAAGAGAGAGAGAGGAAAGAGAGAGAGAAAGAAAGAGAGAGAGAAGAAAGAGAGAGAGAAAGAAAGAGAGAGAGAAAGAAAGAGAAGAAAGAAAGAGAAAGAGAGAGAGAGAGAAAAAGAGAGAGAGAGAGAAAGAGAAAGAGAAAAAGAGAGAAAGAGAAAGAAAGAGAGAGAAAGAAAGAGAGAGAGAGAAAGAAAGAGAGAGAGAAAGAAAGAGAGAGAAGAAAGAAAGAAGAGAAAGAAAAAGAGAGAAAGAGAAAGAGAAAGAAAGAGAAGAGAGAGAGAGAGAGAGAGAGAGAGAGAGAGAGAGAGAGAGAGAGAGAGAGAGAGAAAGAAGAAAGAAAGAAAGAAAGAAAGAAAGAAAGAAAAGAAAGAAAGAAAGAAAGAAAGAAAGAAAGAAAGAAAGAAAGAATAAAAAAAATAAAGAAAGAAAAATAGAGAGAGAAAAAAGAAAGAAAGATAAAGACAGGATAAAGAAAGAGAGCCTGAAAACGAAAGACACTCATGCTTAATGCGCTAAATTACCAAGACAACAGAAGCTCACATTACATCAACATCACTCGTTTCCTCAACATCTGCCTCACAGCCTACATTTGGCTGGTAACTAACAAATGTATATTGTAGCTTGTAAATGTGAACAGTCGTTTGTTAAGATGAACTGTAGTTAGGAAGAGTGAATTGTAGTTGGGCAGAATGAGCTGTAGTTATTTCGAGTGAGTTGTAGTTAAGGAGAGTGAGTTGTAGTTAAGGAGAGTGAGTTGTA